CGAGATAATCCAGGGTCCCGACCTTTTTGTTACACCCGGTATATATACATGTAATATAAATTATTTACTACATAGAAATACATATTTGGCACATAGTTAGATACGCATATACTTTCTTTAACTTCAAATAATAATGTTGGCTGAAGCAAGTCGTTCAACAAAGATAATTAGGACTTAAACTGTACATAAATTACCTAAAATGCATGGATAAAACATTTATTTTGGGAAAATAAATTAAGGTTTATGGATGTTAAGTAGAATGTTTAATTTGAGGACATTTCCGTATATGTATACTGATTGTATAACTTGAAGACAGTTATATACTGACTGTATAATTTGAGGACAGTCTCTGATCAATGCCTTTGTTCAAAAAGTCTCAAATTATACAATAACCATAAATTATAGAATTGTGTTTATATTGAAAAGATAACATTTGAGAATAAAATAAATATATGTATTTCTAAAAATACGTATTTCTAAAAATTATTTTAAAAATTAATAAACCTGGAAAAATAATTTACACTCTATAATTTTTTCAAAGAAACATAGACTTAAAATGCATTTAAAAAAAGAAATTAGTGCTTAAACTTTATAAACTATACTTAAGAGACATTGGGATAAAACGTTTATTTTGGAGACAGAAAATGTTTTAAGATTTTGGGGTAGAATGTTTAATTTGAGGACATTTCCGTCAGGTATGTCAATTGTATAATTTGAGGACATTGTATATACTGATTGTATTATTTGAGAACAGTCTCCATTAAATGCTTTTGTTCAAAAAGGTTCAAAGTATACAATAATTACAAAATTTTTCAATATTTTTTTGCTTTCTGCTCTATAAACGAAGTTTGCTATTGCACGTTCTATGTAAAGTAATATAGCATAAATTAAACGAATAAAATAGCGATGTTCCAAAACATACTTTGTGCATATACAAAGTGAGTTTTTTAAATTAACACATCTAAATATTTCAAAACCTATAAGTTTTAGAAAAAACTTTTTAGATCAGAGTTGTTTGGTTCTGTGAGAAAAAGAAGATAAGAATATTATAGTTAGACCGTAGATTGAAAAGAGAATACTTTACGAAACATTTCATATGTCCAGTTTTATTTAATTCTTAATTTATCGCATATCCCCGCAGGGTTCGCAATCTACTACCAACACTATCCTTTTCCTCTCACTTTAACCCTTTGGACCAACGGCTTAACGTCTCTTTCTAAAAGACGGAGCCCAGTTTTCTTCGCACAAGAGCCTATCTTGCACGGAGGGGCTCAGCTATCGAAAAAACATTCCATGCTTCATGGCTCTAGTGGACTCGAACCTGGTTCCTCAGATTACGAGTCTGGCGCTCTACCACTAGACCACACTGCCGCCCTTATGTCCAGTTTTATACGTTTCGAGAAAACGGAGTTCAAAGTTTTAAATAAGAAAAAAGTATATTTTTATTAAATGTAAAATAAAAGTAGCAATGTAATTTTTTAAATATTTATTACAGAAATAAAACTGACATGTTTTGTAGTATAATTGTCAATAACACATTGTACCTAACCCAAGACCTAACCAAAACTAAGGGACTTGCGATTGTTTACCGCTAAATGAAAAATTAGGTAAAGAAAAATATATATATTAATTTTAGACACTATTTTAGATAATATAGTTGTAATAGACATAAAACCTTTTACTATATTAAAATTTAAGCTCCTGGTATATTGAAAATAGTACTAACTCAATTTTGACAAAAAGTGGATATACGATCCTTTACCTCTGAGGTACATACATTGTCCCTGGCATTATTTCCACCAAGTTTCAACAGAAACTGCTTCTGTGAAAAAAAGAGAAAAATTAATAAGTATATTTTATATTTATTTCAATGGATTATGCTAATAAAATAGCTTAATATTATGAGAGGATATGACAAGGTTTAGTAAAGATATTTTTATTCATACAATTATGTCTTTTATCCACAATGTTAATAATTTTGTATTCAATCATAATTTGTCTATTAATATTATCATAAAGATACAATTATATACATATATTCAATTATATAATTTCTAATTATAGTTAGAGGCCAACTAATTATCTCTATATTTTTCAAGTTTAATTTCATTAGAATTGTTTATTAGAAATGTTTATTAGAATTTACACTTGAAAAATAAAGACAGATAATTAGTAGGTCTCTAACTATAATTTAAAAAAAAAAAATAAATAAATAAAGTATACTTTTAACTTTTAAGTTGTAAACGTCTACAATAAACATCTAAATTCAACTTTTACGAAAATTTAATTTATCTCTTGCAGTACTACATAATTAAAATATTAAATATGCCATAAAATACAATTTTTGAAAATAATATTTATCACATAAACATTTTTCCTTTTTTTAATTCTTGCAATTTTCTTCTGCTTTTTATTACAATATTAATATTAATTTTACTTCTTTGCAGAAGGTCATAGTGATGTACATAACTCAACATCTAATAAAAAATATATGCTTTATAGAACAAGATCTAGGACATTGTACAATAATGTCAAAAGTGATATTAAAGTAAACGCTCCATTCCAGAAAAAGACAAAGAAATTGTTAAACGCTAATAAAGGTAAGAGTGCAAATTTTAATGTCATATTTACAAGTTTTATATTTTTTAAATTTAATCAAATTAGTTAAAATATTAATGACTATTTTTATTCTTTCTTTCTTTCTTTTTCAATTATTAATATTAGACATTTCCTATGAAATAATACTATGTCGTGGTTTCTTGTCTATATTTAATTTATTACTCAGTTGCTAATCCATCCACTTGTAAAGAAGGCGTGCAAAGTCAATTAGTCGCATATATTAAAGTATTATTGACGTTTTTCATTTCTAAAAAAGGCATGTAAAGTTGATAATCAAATCTATCAAAATTTATTGTTGTCGCCTTTACGCAATACCAATTGATTCTCTCGTTGCGTTTACTTCGTGAGCGGCTATTATTGCATATTTTACCAGTTGATAAAGTATATCTAAGAGTTAATAGTGTTTATAATATAAAAATAGCTTAAATAAATAAGCAGCGCGCGTTTAAAATGTCTAGTTATTACATAAAATTAATTTTTTCACATATATTTTGTCAAGGTGGATCATGAAGTTAACTATATGCCCTATGTGCCTTTTTATTTAAATAGGGAAAATCTTCAAAAAGACTCCCCGCTCCTCGGGACCGAGGCGGGGTTGTGCCGGATTCCACGGGCGCATATTGCCGAGGCGACGTCACCCATGGCCTACCAGCTAAAACCCCCACTAGTCCCTTCTAAGTGCTATATGGGGGGGACTCGGGAAACGCAGTGATCACGTCCGTGATCCCCCCACACTGGCTTTGAACAGGCACCCTCCTGGGGGGGGGGGGGGCATTGAGCCCCCCTTGTCCTTAGGGACAAAAAGCTAACTAATAAGTGGCGGACTGAAGGGGACTAACCTCAGTTCGCCACCCCCCCCCACTCTGGGGGAGCTGGCCCTTCGAGGAGCGCCTTACGGCAACCGGTCAAGATCAGTTGTGACACGCGGCAAGCCCGTAGCCGCGCGCCACCCCTTTAGGCGGTAGAGGAGAAGGCTCAGCCGCAGCCATCGAGGGCGGACCATCGGGGAGCGCCGGGGCACCAGTCAGGCACCTGCCAATTGGAACTCGCCATCGGGGAACGCCCCGGCAACCAGTCAGGCCCACCCATCGAGGAGCGGATCACCCTGTCCCCACCGCGCCCTTCCATAAGGGTAGGTAGTCCGAGTCCGCGACCTAAGTCCCAGACCCCGGTCCCCAAAGTATTTTGGTTTTAATTCGGAGTTTTCCTTCTCCTAGGCTGGTTGGCTTCCTGGCCTCACGAGCCCAGCCTGCCCGAGTTCGGGTTCCCCGGGTTCGCCAAACCCGTATCAGGGACGCCCACCAGGAGTCTCGAAGGACCCCCGAAAGCCGTTCCCGACCCCTGGGACGTCATCCGGACCGAAATCCGCCACCCGTCGGCCGACTCAAGCAGAAAAAGCTTCCACCATACTCCCCCGCGGGCTAAGCGAAAGATCCGGCCGAGCAAGCTCGATCCCGGTCCCCTGCCGCCCACGAGAAGACAGGGCACAGGATGCTCCCTCAATACAATCGCCGACCAACGGGTTCCTAAACACGCCGCCGACCCTTACGTCCGGTGGCAGGACACCACCAACCCTAACCCGGTCCGAGCGGCCCAGTGGATCACCCTCCTAGGGGGCTGTCCGGCCCCGACCTCGGATCATTTTCGTGCGGCCTGGACAGCCCCTGTAGGCCCGCAATTCCGCGACCTGCCGGAGCACCGGCGTGCAATGGTCGCGAGATTGTCCCCCATCCTGCTGGAGCACCGGCGTGCAATGGATGGAGGAAGACCCACCCCGTCCTGGTTGCCGGTGGTAGAATCAAAATCCTCTAACGGTCCCGGCCGACCGGGCGTTTACAGTCGCCATCCCCTAGCGGCTGTTGGAGTCTGGGTGGCCGAAGCCAGACCCAGACTCCTAGCGGGGCAGCCGGTCTCCCGGTTTTTTGTGGGAAGGGTTTTCCTTCCCTTAGGGCCGTCGGGAGAGCAAAGGCCCATCCCTTACGGCCCCGCCTGGGCCGAGCAAACTTATTATAGAAGTCGCCTACCTCGCGAGTCCCCGAAGGGACTCCCTGGTCCCCGCCAGCTCAAAGACTGACGAAGATTACGGTGCTGGTGTGCTCGGGTACCCCGGGTGCGCAAGACCCGTATCGGGGAAGGCCCCTAGGGGCCCCAAAGAGCCCCCAGTGACCTTTCCCGACCCCTGGGGGGTCCCTCCGCCGACCTGTTTGGCACTAATTGCGACGGCAGGGGGATAGGCAATGACCCGTTCCCGTGCCGCCCACCCGTCTCTTTTGTTCCAACCGGGCCTGTGTTTTAGGCCCCTCTTCTTCCTCTCGTGACACATCCTTCCTCCAACGCGTTGGGGGAAAGTACCTGTGTGTATTGGGGAAGAGGGACGCCCCCCTCGTCGGAGGAAACGGCAACCCCTTACCTCTACATAGTTGTCCTATTCCCTGTTCCCTATTTGTTGGGAACCACTAGTAGATTCCTCCTCGGACTGGGGGGGGGGGGGACTTTCAGTCCGCTTCATCGTCAGGAGGAGGGGCGGCTTCTCCCCTCCTTACCCTCTCGTCCGCCTCCTTCCGCGACATGACTTTGTCTCAAAAGGAGGCGAAACTCCTCCAGTTTTCCCTTCTTCTCTTTCCCGCCTGAACCGTCGTTGCGATGACGGCCAGGAGAGAGAGGTCTTCTCCGATTTCCGCCCGGAGGGCACGGCGCTCTTCGTCCCACGCTGGACAGTCCTCCAGCGTGTGTTGCGCCGTGTCCGCTCCCTCCGGACAGTGGTGGCAGCGCGTGGTGCGCTCTTTCCCGATGCGGTGCAAGTATTTGCCGAAACATCCGTGGCCTGTTATTACCTGCACCGCGTGGAAGGCAAGGTTTCTTTTCTTTATGCCTTCCACCCACTTCTCTAATACCGGTTGGATGGCTTCGATGACCCTCCTCCTCCAGAGGTGCCGGGGGTCCGCTAGATCCTCCTTCCAAGAGCGGAGGAGGGTCTCCTTTGATCGGAGCTTCAGCTCCCTTCTATTCCTCGGCGGGACTTCCCCCAGTGCCTCCCTAACCCTGCTGACCGCCTCGTACGTTTCTGCGTACGACCTAGTCAGCAGGTGTATCGGGGGAATTCCCGCGAGGGTGGTCGTCCCCATGTGGGAGACGGTTCTATATGCTCTGACGGCTCTGATCGCAATAGTTTTCTGCGCAGCCGCCATTTTGGCATTGAGGCAGGGAATATTCCCCACCTTCTCCCACCATATCGGTACTGCGTACAGCAGCACCGAATGCCCTATGTGTCCTATTAAATTAGGGCAATCTAAGTGATCTGTACTCAATTACATGTAATAATATAGGTATTACTCGTGTAGACAAAATATATAAATTTGTTACCGTCCAATAACCCTTTTTCTTTTTGCTGATTCTATTTTGTGAAATATTATATTATATTATATATATTTATATATATATATATATATATATATATATATGGGCAGATCCATTACTTTTCGACCAAAAGTTGCGGGGGT